ACATTTCCCCCTCAAGAGTCCAAGACCCGAGTTCCTTGGGGAAAATGGATGGTCGGTCTTCTGTAACTGCTTCCTGCAGTTAGAGAGAGGGACAGTGGGGGTGGTTCTGTGGGTGTTGGCCTCTGCTAGCTGTCAGGACAGGTGGCTCCGTGGGTTGGTGAAAGTGGTATCCAGCCAAGTCCAAGGGATATGGGCAGGATTTTGCCTCTGTCATGTCCTACTGATGGGAAGTATATGGGTCTCCTGTGGAAGGATGACCTTTTGTGTGTGTGTGCGTGTGTGTGTGCGTGTGTGTGCGTGTGTGTGTGAGAGAGAGAGAGAGAGAGACTTGCTCTGTCGCCCAGGGTGGAGTCCTCTGCCTCCCAGATTCAAGCTATTCTCCTGCCTCAGCCTCCTGAGTAGTTGGGATTACAGGTGTGTACCACTATACCTGACTAATTTTTATATTTTTAGTAGAAATGTGGTTTCACCGTGTTGGCCAGGCTGGTCTTGAACTCCTGACCTCAGGTGACCCACCCACCTCGGCCTCCCAAAGTGCTGTGATTACAGACATGAGCCACTGTGCCCTGCCAGAAGAGTGACCCTTGAATACTGAGGAGACAGCATCTCTCACTGAGGATCACCTGGAGACGAGTCGGGTTATTAGATTTAGGAGAATGTCAAAACAAAATAAGAGGGTGAGGGCAGCTCCAAAAAATCCCAAGGCTGGTGACACATCCAGGTAGCTAATACTCCTAGAAGCTGGGTGCATCTTCCTCCCAGCACATCTGTGTTCACCAGCCAGAACATCCAGAGGTTTCATTTCAGAGGGGTGATTGATTAAATCTTTGGCCATGTGATTGAACTCAGTCTCCAGTACCTGTCACCCTTCTGGAGGTCACAGGTGGGACCGAAGGCTCCAACCCTCTAAGCAGGTATTTAGTCTTCCTGTGGCCAGCCCCTCCCTCGAATCTAAGTTTCCACCAGGAGTTCCTGTCTAATAGCAGAAACTCAGGTAAGGTCAAAAGGGGTTTATTATGAATAATAAAAGACACGCTAATCTCTCAGGAAATTCCAAGGGTTTTCGAAGCTCTGTGCCAGGATTGGGTAAAAAGACTGGCTATGTGTTTCTGTCTTACCATACCACACTCACCCACACACACACTAAGATTCCCTCACACACTGCTCGTTCCCATGGGCCTACTGTGCAAGGAGACGGCTAGACCTTGAACCTCCAGAGGCAAAGCAACAGCATTTATTTGAAAGACACCATGTCCTGGGGTCAGTTCAGCTTCAGGTGAATGCACTAGTTCAGTGATGCTGCAGCTCCAGGTAGGGTGAGGATTTGGCAGGAGCTAAGGCTTGTCTCTGAGCCTCTGAGCGGAACGCCAGGGCTGGCAGAAGCATCTAGAGGTAAGCTGAGGCATCTAGAGGTAAGCGCCAGGGCTGGCAGATGCATCTAGAGATAAGCTTCTACAGGCATCTAGAGGTAAGCAGGACCACCTTCCATGCAGGCAACACCCCCACCCCTGCCTGCCTCGCCTTTCCACCCCCAGTAAAGCAGTGTCATTTGTCTGGGGTAATACCTGAGTTCGTTGCCTCACACTAAGGAAATAAAGGACGTGGACACACAAGGAATGAGGTTAAGAGCGGAGGTTTAATAGGCAAAAGAAAGAGGAAAGCTCTCTCCTGCAGACAGAGGGGGTCCTGAACTGGTCTTCCAGTCCATGGTGAAGTGCAGGAGGTTTTATAGATGAGCTTGAGGAGGTGGTATCTGATTTACATATGGCACCAGAGATTGGCTGGATAGGTGTGTCATTTGCATGCACTCGAAGAAGCTGGCTGCCCACCCTAATCTTTTGTTATGCAGATGGTTCTCTACCTGTCTGGGGCCAGGTTGCCTGTTTTTCTACTGTAAGCATGGTGACAAAGAAGATGGAAGTTGGAGCCTCCATGTTGAGCATACCTGGCTTCCAGGTAGCCCTTTTCTACTGGCACAGCTGCCAGCATTCACCCCTGCAAGCTTCTAGCTTGCTTGTCTATGTTTGTAGCTTGATTTTTCAGGCTGCTCTTTACTAGAAACTAAGTGATTTGGGGGCTGCTTTTTGTTAAAAGGGAAGCTCTGCAGAGGACTCTCTTACCCTCACTATCGGCCTAAATAATTTCTTTTTAGCTCCTGTATCACCAGGAGTACCCCTTCCATCTCCTCCTGTTGCTCCTAGATCTAATTCTCTCTCCACCCTGCTCTGCTGGAAGAGAGGGGCTGCTAAAGACTCATTTCTAACCTGAGTTCAGTGACTAATGATTCATCGTGCTGCTGCTCTGGAAGGACCACACACTCTCACGGAGACCAGGATCTTAAGCCGCAGGGCCACCCTCTCTAAGCCAAATGGAGGCAAAATTGAGTGCTCAGTATCTAGGCCAGCAGGTCTCTGCCTTATTTAACCCAGCCCCTATTCCAGATGGGCTCACTCTGCTTCAAACACCTTTGACACAGATGTCCCAGTGTCCCTGCTGTCCAGCCTTTCTTCAGCAGCCTTGGCCAGACACCTAGTTTTCCAAACTCTAGCCCAGCAGCTTAGGGTTGGAGTGGGAGAGGCTTAAGCTCCCAGGGTGGTCCTGAGCTTTAGGTCTCAGCTCCAGCACTTACAGCCCTGTGATCATGAGCATTACTTGCCTCTCTGCCTCAGGTTCCTCATCTATAAAATGGGGATAACTATAGTGTCTCCCCATAGGTTTAACAGGAGAATTAAGGAGATCATAGAATCTAATGCACTGGTGTTTGGGTTTGGGGTAGACCAGGGAGGCTATTAGTAATAGCAACGTGGTTATAATATTTTATTAACAATTATGTATAACAACTATAGAATAACAATGATTATGATGACACAGCAATATAGTAATATTAGTAATCAGTACAATGGCAGCAGAATTTGGGGTATCATCTATGCTTGGGTCCTTGTCCTCATGTTACCAGAAAGGGCTCCCGATCCAGACCCCAAGAGAAGGTTCTTAGATCTGACACAAGAAAGAATTTGGGCAAGCCCGCAGAATAAGGTGAAAGCAAGTTTATTAGAGAAGTAAAGAAAACAAAAGAATGGCTGCTCTCTCCTGGTGTACTGTCTCATACTCACACTCGACTGAGCATGCTTATGGTTATTTCTTGACTATTTGCTAAACAAGGGGTGGATTGTTCATGAGTGTTCCAGGAAAGGGGCCAGCAGTTCCCAGAACTAAGGGTTCCTCCCTTTTCAGATGTAGGGTAACTTCCTGACGTTGCGGTGGCATCTATAAACTGTCATGGCGCTGGTGGGAATGTCTTTTAGTATGCTGATGCATTATAATTAGCACATAATGAGCAATGAGGATGACCAGCAGCCACTTTGGTCACCATCTTGGTTTTGGTGGGTTTTGACCAGCTTCTTTACCACATCCTGCCTTATCAGCAGGGTCTTTGTGACCTGTAACTTGTGCCAACCTCCCGTCTCATCCTGTGACTTAGAATGCCTGACCTCCTGGGAATGCAGGCCAGCAGGTCTCAGCCTCATTTTACCTAGCCCCTATTCGAGATGAGGTCACTCTGGTTCACACATCTGTGACACAGATGTCCCAGTGTCCCTGCTCCCCAGCCTTTCTTCAGCAGCCTTGGCCAGACAGCTAGTTTTCCAAACTCTAGCCCAGAAGTTTGGGGCCTGAGTGGGAGAAGCTTAAGCTCCAGGGGTGGGGTCAAGACAGGAGCTGGGAGGGGAAGACAGTGACCAAGTCCTGCCCCTATCGAGAGATGCCCCCTCCCCCTTCCTGGGGAAGCTGTGCCACAGGAGGCTGGGGAGATTCCAGAAGGTGTCACCTGGACAGGAGGGATGAGCTTCCTGGGACCTGCCGAGACTCAAAGGACATTTTAAAACAGCAGAGTTTGTAAAAAGCAGCAGAATCTCACTCCCCATGCTTGCCCTCAGGACCCTCACTGGAGTAGAACCATTGCTCAAAGCATGAGAAGTAGAAGTGAGTGTCCGTGAACATGCTGGCTCTGCGTGAGACCTCAGCCAGTGTTTGGTTTCTAGAGCACAGCTGCGTCCTCAGGGCCTAGAGGCGTGGTTTTATCAGAAGAGAGTAAACCCACAGCAGAAGCAAGTCTTCCTGCACAGGATTTGGGGTCTGCTGCAGAGGCCTGGTAGCATGGAGGTCCCAACCGTTGACACCAGTGTCCAGAGGCCGAATCTAGTTCTTCCCTTACAGCCGTGAGACCTTGTCCAGCATCATCTTCCAGAGCGTGTCCTGTGGGCCAAGCCCTTATGGGCATTAACTCAGTCAGTCATTACACCAGCTTGAGGAGGGAGCGTCCTGTTACAATCAGAGAGTACCTCAGTTCCTTCATCTGTAAAATGGGGATAATAATAAAACTCACGTCATGGGGTGATTGAGAGGATGGAGCAAGTTACGATATGTGGAGTGTCATAACAGCTCCTGTCACAGAGAGAGCTCTGTATTAAGTATGAGCTATTTTTATTTTTTCGGGGGGGAAAAAGGTGTGAATTGACTAATATCTGTGATTGTTTCCAACAGCCTCCCCCAGAGTGTATGCTGGGATGAGAGTTGAAATTCAGCCTGACTCCCGTGCATTAGAGCTTTCCCGAGTGTGGACTCAGGACCACCCACATCAGAGCCAGCTGATTGCAGCCCCCTTACAGAACCAGCATCTTGAGGCAGTGGGATAGGAATTTTAAGACCTTACCCCTGCCGTGGATTCTGTGTCTCCAATACCCTTACAGAAACATTGATGTAATTGTACCCCTCAGTGGGCAGATGAGAATCTGAGGGTGCAGGAGCCTCAATGTGGACATGCTCTAGGTGATACAAGTCTCTTGGGGCAGAATTCCCAGTGCCCCTGGGGTGTTCTTGACCTCCCTAGCCTGCCTCCCTCATTCCAGGAACCTTCCAGATGACTTTGATCTCATTGCTGTCCTCCTCATCTTCACCCAAATCTTTGATTCACGGAGCTCTGTCCCCTTCTTTGATTTCAGATGTTTCTGGTCCGCCGGGACAGCAGCTCAAAACACCTGGTACTCTGTGTCCACTTTCCTTCCCTGAACGAGAGCTCGGCCGAGGTGCTCGAATACACCATTAAGGAAGAAAAGTCGAGTAAGTACCCATCTTCTCAGTTTTTACTTTGACCACACAGCAGCGGCAGCAGCAGAGAGGCTGCGCCTTCTAACCACAGGCTCTCCTCCATGCACTGATGGTGTTTAAAATTAGAAGGGGGAAAAGCTTTCAGTCGCTGAAGTTACTTGACCGGACTTGTTTTGAACTGGGTTCGTCACTCCAATGTCAGTGTGAATTTCCGCTCACTCTCGTCACAGCTGGTTGGCTTTGTGTTCTCATGGCCATGGTGAGGTTTCCTCCTGATAGCTCAGCGCAGGGACACTGGAGAAAGAGAAGAAAAGAAGATGACATATCTGCGCTCTTGGGTCCTAGTGTCAGCTCAGCACATACTCAATCTAGGATCCCAAACAAGTCACTGAATCTTTCTGAGCCTCAGTTTTGTGTCAAATGAACATGACAGTCACAGAGCTTTTGTGAGGGTCAAATGGACAAACACTTTGAAAGACACAAATCTGGGCCAGACTTGATGGCTCGTGCCTATAATCCCAACAGTTCGGAAGGCGGAGGCAGGAGGATCCCTTGAGCCCAGGAATTGGAGACTGGCCTGGGCAATGTAGAAAGACCCCATCTCTACAAAAAGTAAAATAAATTAGCCAGGCATGATGGCATGCATCTGTGGTCCCAGCTACTTGGGAAGCTGAGATGGGAGGATGGCTTCAGCCAGGGAGGGCAAGGCTGCAGTGAGCTATGATTGTGCCACTGCCCTCCATCCTGGGTGACAGGGAGACCTGTCTCAAAAAAAAAAAAAAGGACAAAAGTCTTGTGTGTGCACAGTGCTGCTGGAAGTAGGCATGGGCCTCCGTGGGAAAATGTCTAGGGCAGGTTTGTTCTGGTAATGCAGTGTCACTGGGTTTGGGGCCCTATGGACTGCTAGGCTCCCATCTATGCCAGCTTCCTCCTCCATGCATGGTGTAACCACTCAGTGGGTGCTTCTTCCCCTCTGCTCAGATAGCCCTAATTTATCAAGATGGGAACTGCAACAGAGAAAGAGTTTGATGCACACAGAGCCAGCTAAACAGGAGACAGAGTTTTATTGTTACTCACTTCAGCCGCTCTGAAAATTTGGAGGCTAGAGTTTTTTTTAGGTAGCAGGGATAGGGAGAGGGAATGCTGATTGTTTGGGTCAGGGATGCAATCGCAGGAAATTGAATCTGTCTTCTTGCACTGAGTCAGTTCCTGGGTGGGGGCCACGAGACCAGATGAGCCAGTTTACTGGTCTGGGTGGCTAGCACCAGGTGATCTGTAAGAAAGGATGCAGACCTCAGACACCAATCTCAGGTTTTCTAATAGTAACATTATCTACAGGAGCAATTAGGGACATTAGTGACCTTGTGGCCTCTGGCTACGTGACTCCTGAGCCAAAATTTCTAATTTTTTTTTTTTTTTTTTTTGAGACAGAGTTTCACTCTTGTTGCCCAGGCTGGAGTGCAATGGTGCAATCTCAGCTCACTGCAACCTCTGCCTCTCAGGTTCAAGTGAGTCTCCTGCCTCAGCCTCCCAAGTAACTGGGATGACAGGCATGCACCACCATGTCCAGCTAAGTTTTTGTATTTAGTAGAGATGGGGTTTCACCATGTTGGTCAGGCTGGTCGAAAACTCCTGACCTCAGGTGGTCCACCTTCCTTGGCGTCCCAAAGTGCTGGGATTACAGGCGTGAGCCACCACACCCGGCCCATAATTTCTAATTTTGTGGCTAATTTGTTAGTTTTATAAAGGTGGTCTGGTCCCCAGGCAAGGAGGAGGTTTGTTTTGGGGAGAGGCCATTACCATCTTTGTTTCAAAGTTAAACAGTAAACTGAATTCCTCCCAAAGTTAGTTCGGCCTATGCTCAGGAGTGAACAAGGGCAGTTTGGAGGTTAAAAGCAAGGTGGAATTGGTTGGGTCAGATCTCTTTCATTGTCATAATTTCTTCTTCATAATTTTTGCAAAGGTGGTTTCAATGGCTATCTGTATACATGCCAGGCATCCGGATCCAGAAAGCCTGTTAGAAGAATCTATAGAATATTCCAAGCACTGGCTTACATTTCTTGTAAATGGATCTAGGGTGTTGAGGGGAGCTTTTTACCCCAGCTAGCAGCAGAGTGACAACCGTTAAGAAGACTCATTAAATATTCTCAAGTGTTTGCTTCTCAAGAAACATGTGTTCCTGACACTGGGAAGATGCAAAGATGAAGAAGACAGAGTTCCTGGCCTCAGGGGCCTCCAGGTCTGGTTGGAAGGAGGGAACATGCTGGTGTGGGAGACAGACATCACTTGCTGTGCAGTGTAGCAGGTGTTACTGCAAAGGGACCTCTGGCTGGAGCACAGAGGATGCAGGTCACTGTGGGGAGGGTTCAGGAGGGTGTCTAAGAGGAGGAAGCACCCAGGCTGAGTCATGAAGGTGAGAATAATAGTTCAGTTGAAGATTAATCTTCTAGCCCTTAAAGTGGACTAGGAAGGGAATCCAGAAGCAGATTGCTTTTCCTGCTGTAAGGAGGTCTTTCTGCAGAGACCCAGAGCCCCGCAGAATGGATAAAACACAACTCACGCATTCATATGTGTTCAGCAGAGACTTACGGAGTGCCCCCTCCATGCCAGGCACTGTTTACTGCCTCTCGGAGCTCACTTCAGGTGGAGGGAGGGGATGATAAGTAACCATCCAGGGTGACTGGCAGATGGAGAGGCATGCTATGGGGAACATGTGAGCGTAGATAATTAACTAGCTGCTGCAAGAACCAGCATAATGGCTTAAACCCAGGAGCTGGTTTCCCACTCACAGGCAGGAATCCTGGCCAGTGGGGAAGGAACAGGGACCCCAATGGAAGAGGAGGCTCTGCCACCTTCAGCGTGCAGCCTCCAGTTTCCTGGGACTGACTCCAAGCCAGTAGGCTGGAAGGGGGAAACAGCATGGAGAAGGCTGTGGTCTGGTCTTCCTGCCAAGGCCTGGGAGTGGGTGTGTCACCTGTGCCCACATTCCATTGGCTAGAACTTGGCCACATGATCACACCTAACTGCAAGAGAAACTGGGTCCAGCCATGTGCCCAGGAAAAGGAACAGCACCTGGGCTTTGAACTGCTAGAAGCCTGATCCATGGGTAGTAAGGATAGGGAGTATGGGGTTGGGGCAAAGATTGTTCATTTATACAGCTAACTTGAATGACCCCTCCATCCTGTGGAGTCCAGCAGGGAAGAAAGTGTGGGGTTCTCAAGGAGGAGAGTGACCGTTTTCCCAGAACAAGTATACAGCACCATGTGATGACAGCAGAAGAGGTAGGGCTGTTTGGGGCATCCACTGCTCTCCAAGAACCCAGGTCCCTTCCCATTTGGCCAGGGCCCGGCCTTCTTAGCAGGTGCCTCTGGGGCCACACAGCCCCTGGGTGTGCTAATGGTCTCCAGGGAGACAGGACTATCGCCTATCTATTAGAGATAACAGAGGCCAGGAGGGTACAGACCTGTCTCTTAGTAAGACCGGCCAGGCTTTCAGGGACTCGGCTGCCACCTGCCAGTTGCCTATAACTTTTAGAAACCCAAGAGCCAACTGTGCTCTTGAATTTCCACACCAACATTGGGAAAGTAGGTGACAGTGGAGGTTATGATGAGCTGAGCATGTTACCTGTTAGTAGCCTGAGCAGGGAGTGCTGTTTACACCCAGGGTGGCCAGGAAGGCTTCTTGGAGGAAAGGCACATCAGGCCGGACCGGCAGCCTGTCTGGAAGTTCTGCAGTCGTCCTTTGCACCGTGCTCCTTCCCCACCTCCCTGCCCAGCCCCAGGGTCACCACTCCACTGTGTCTCCAACCCAGCGACACCCCTAGAAACCAGGACATCGTATCTGGTTTCATGTCTTATTTCCCATTAGACACCAATGAAAAACCAGAGCTGGATGGTAGTTAAAGCAGTAAAAACAGGATTTGCTCAGAACTGTCGCGATAACAACAAAGAGACCTGGGTGTAGAACTGACTCAACTCCGAATACAGCATGGGCAAGTGGGGGTTAGAGCCAAGGAGCAGGGTCGGAGGCAGTGGATGGAAAATCTCTAAGGGAAAACATGAAGAGTAGGGAGGATTCTGGCGAAACTGACCCAACAGGATTCTTGCTGAAGGCAGGCGGGGTGATCAGACAGCACCTCAGGGGATGGTGGAGGAACGGAAAACTGATCAGATCGCGATAGTGGTCAGATATCAAAGATCGGAGGGGGGTTCTAAACCAACAAAGCAGGATTCTTGCTAAAACTGGATTTTAGGAGGTACAGATGGGCCTAGGAGAAGTTTCAGGAGCCTGACTCAACTTTGGTCAAGCAAAGAATTTTTTTAAGCCTAAGGGACGAATCGGGCCACCCAGAGACAGAGACAGCCAGCCTACTTCTATGGGTTCTTTCTTCCTCCCAGGGCCATGTGGCCAAATCTCACTTTCCATTTTTAAACTTTTAAAAATTCAGTGCTCAATTTGCTGAAAATATGATGAAAACCAAAAATCTTTCATGTAACTTTCCATGATCGTTCTTGTACATTTACTATAAATACACAGGTGTCATCCATAAGTTTGTGTGTGTGTGGTTTTGCTGTTTCTTTTCTTTCCTTTTCTTTTTTGAGATGGACTCTTGCTCTGTCACCTGGGCTGGAGTGCACTCGTGTGATTGGTGTGACGGATGTGATCTTGGCTCACTGCAACCTCCACCTCCTGGATTCAAGCAATTCTCTAGCCTCAGCCTCCTGAGTAGCTGGGACTACAGGGGTGCACCACTGCGTCCAGCTAAATTTTGTTTTTTAGTAGAAACCAGATTTCACCATGTTGGCCAGGCTGGTCTCAAACCGCTGACCTCAGTCGATCTGCCCGCCTCGGCCTCCCAAAGTGTTGGGATCACAGGGATGAGCCACCACACCTGGCCTGCTGTTTCCTTGTATTATTCCATTGCTCCCCAAACCTCACTCCCCTGAGGTCAGCCACTAGTGTGCACCCAGGCAACATTTAGAAAGCGGCAGATACCTTGTTTTTTTGCCGAG